TTTCTTTTGGTATAGAATTCCAAATGTTTGCTCCGTCGTACATAAAACTATTTTTCATGCTATTTGTACGTGGTTTTGGTAAATAAAGACCACTTGAGACATCCCGAAGGTGGTAATTAGTTTTCTCACTCTTAAACGAAAATAGATTTGTGAGTGATTTTGGGCCCATTTTGTTTAATAACTTATACATCATTCTTGCTTTAGTTTTCTTCCTTTCAGTTTGGAGTGGCTCCCAGCCCAAAGTACGTAACGCAATCGTATAATCTACGTCATTGCTTATATTCAGAATAATTCTTGCCGCTCTATTTTGCAGTTTTTGCAGTCGTTTTGATTGAGTTTCGCCAAATACATCCCATACTTCACAGCAGTAGTCAAAGTACGGACGAACAATAGTGTTATATATCAAAATAAGTGTATCTTGATCAACAAATGGTTTGATCCGACGAATAGCAGAGATTCCTGCTGTAACTTTTTTGCAAATATTTTCGGTATTACTTTTCCAAGATAAATGCTGGTCAATTGTTACTCCTAGAGTTTTGCATTCATGAACTTGTTTAATTTGTATATTTTCAATGTAAACATTTGGGCAAGAATCAGAAATATTTTTGATCATAGGTTTAGAGCCAATCAACATAAACTCTGTCTTAGCTACATTGAGGCTAAGTTTATTGGCTATTAACCATTTTCTAAGGTTCTCTAAATCAGAATTTACTGCAGTCTCTAGGTCAGTCATAGAATTTGCTGAAGCAGTCAAATTTGTGTCATCAGCAAACAACCGCGGTTTTGTTTTGTTTAGACAATGTGGCAAATCATTGATGTACAACAAAAAGAATAATGGCCCTAATATAGAGCCTTGTGGTACACCACATTTAATCAAGCGCTCAGATGAAAATGAGTTTTTATTTGGCACTTCTGGTTTCTGTTTGTGAGATAGGATTTGAGCAAAGTTAGAGCTTGTCCTTTTATTCCATAGAGCTCTAATTTGTTCAGCAGAATTTGATGATCAACAGTATCAAAGGCTTTCTTCAAATCAATTAAAACTACTAGGTTAAACATTTTTCTGTCTAGATTTACATACCAATCATTAGTACAGTCTAGTAGTGCACTAGCTGTAGAGTGAAATTTTCGAAATCCAAATTGGGAATCACTGAGAAGCTCAAATTTTGTTAAATAGTTAAATAGTATACACTAGATAGTGCATTTAATTATTCTGCAATTCAAAAATTGAAGCCGTGATTGCAGACTCAGGATATTCCCATGAAATGAGAAGACTCGTATGTTTTCTATTTCTTAAACAGGGAACTTAAACATTAAGTTAAACCTATTCCAAATAAATTTTCAAACTATTCAAATGATGAAAGTTATTGTTGTTTTTTAAGCGTTTATTAGCGAGTGGGAAACTTCGACATGGCCGCCATCTATTCAAATGGGGGTAACCGCTGGAATATTCTTGGCTTCAATTTTACTAAAAGAGAGGCGCTATCTAGTGTATATAAGATATCTATGGTGGTCATCCTGGAATGTGGATTTTATAATTTTTTGATTTTTTTGTGGAATTTGGATTTTATAATGTCAGTAGACAGATTTAGATCGAGGACGCGGACGTCAAAGACGACGTGAAAATGGCGTCAAAATGACGTGGCATATCCATACATGGGCACAACACGCCATTTTCACGTCGTCTTTAACGTCCGCGTCCTCGATCTAAATCTGTCTAATTACTCTATATACGCACGTTAGTCAATACGCCACGAGTATGCTGACAACGGTGCGCAAGTTTAAACGACGGGACAAAATTGCGTGCGTATCCATAGGCAGCGCAAAAATGCGTGTTAAATTTTTTACCCTCGCGCGTGGCGCTCGGGCATGTATCGAGTCTACTTTGTTTATTATTGTGACAAGGTTGGGAAGACTTTTAACGAAAATTTATTACAACGTTTACTAGAGTATAAATATTTCGCAAATTACAAGCAAAAACAATATAAAATGTACATTATTTCAAACACGGGTAATTTTACTACATTCTCCCAAAGTTTTAACTTCAAAAGCTCATTCTAAGGATGTTAAAAAAGCGAATTATTTTCGGGGTTTTTTCAAAATTTTGTCAAAACTATGCTGGGGTCACGTACCCTGTGATGTTGTCATATTTTTTAAATCTTGAAGAAGGGCTGATTGGCTGTTGTGCACTGATTCCGGTACAACAGCCAATCGGCGCTTCTTCAAGATTTAAAAAATATGACAATATCACAGGGTACGTGACCCCAGCATAGTTTTGACAAAATATTGCAAAAAAAACGAAAATAATTCGCTTTTTAATTCACGAAGTAGACTCGATGCACGCCCGAGCGCTAGGCGCGAGGGTAAAATTTTAACACGCATTTTTGGGCTGCCTATGGCGTATCGAACATTTATGGCATAGATATTGGAAACATTTGGAATATTTTCGACTGGTTAAAGAATGGCGTGAAATGCATTATGCTTCTTATGACAATTCTCTGGTTGTGCTTTAAACTAAAACCATCGTACAGTCCTGTCGAAATAACTTTAAATGGCATTGTTATTTATTCTGAACTCGCAATTTTACCTGATAAACTATGTTGTGTTTGGACTGCCACTCGAGATTTAAAACATAGGAAATTCAACTGTCCTTTAAACTATCATGATACAGAATAAATCTACAAATTGACCGTAAACCATCTCACGTTGTTTTATTAATTTTACTGGCTGGTGATGTGGCGACAAATCCTAGTCCTTGTTCTTCTTCAACTAGCAATCGAACAGTAAAGAAGTTTAATGCAAGAAGTTTAACAAGCTTACATAGAACAAACAACAGTGAAGGTAATCGCAGTAACATGGAATTCTTCCAGAATTTGGTCTACTCCGGGGACAGTGATATTATTTTTGTGAATGAAACTTGGCTAAAGAAAGACATCTATGATCTTGAAATTCTGCACTCACAGGTTATTCTGATCGGAAAACTCGGGGTATTATCTCATACCTAGCGTATTAGCGGCTTTCCTATTGGCTACGAGGAGGTGCGTTCAATCTCGAACCCACCTGCTGACGTATGTTTAGGGGGGGGGCAGGGGGGGGGCGGCTGCCCCCTTGCCTTTTGCTAGGGGGGGCAGGGGGGGACAGAAGTGCCCTTTTAGTTGTAAAAAAATACGTGATAAATCACATTTCCAACGATGCTTTTTGTAGGAAAACCACGAGATTCAGGTAATTGATAGTTTATATTTATAAAAATTTGGGGAAATTTTTTGAATTTTGAAAAATATTTTGAAGAAATGGCGAAAATTTAAGATATCCGGAAACATTTTTGGCTTCACGGAAAATTTTTGTATGTCCGGAAAAAATTTTTGACCCCTAAAATGGTACACTGACCGAAATTTTTGCAGTGAAAAAATATTTTCAGTAAAGGTGCCCTTGGTGTACGTCCGTCCCCCTTTGCCCTATTATCGTTCCGGCGTCCCTGACGACAGGTTTCTATGAGAATGCTTTTGTTGAACTACTTAACGCATATTTTATAGTTCAACTTAACAGCACCGCAACTAGAGAAAATAACGTACTCGATCTCGTTATCACAAACATTCCGTAACTGGTGAAAATTAGCGAAGTTTTGTCTCCTGCTGAAGCAGATATCTTTACTGATCACAGTATAATCGGTTTTGACCTCTCTGTTCACGCCAAACGCTTGCCAAAAACTAACAGGACGGTGTATGATTATCGGCGAGGAGATGTTAAAGCTCTTAGATCTGCTCTCGAGTCCTTAAACCTCTCTGGGTTAATTTCAACCGATGGTGATATTAACGAAGATTGGCGTAATTGGGTGAAAGTCGTTCAAAGTACATTAGCTCTATTTGTGATGATCACGAAAATAACACAAAGTTTCTGGTCGTTGTTCAAGCTAAAAACCAGATCTTCCAATATTCCTGAGAAAGTCTCAATGGGGGTTGAAGGAAACTCAAGGAAATACTCATAAACACCAGCGGACATAGCAACTCTCTTTAATAATTATTTCACATCCATCTTCACCAATGATCCAGATACTTTCATAGACCCGTCTACGATCGACGATAACATTTCCTTGTTGGAGGATGTTGTTTTAACAACTGACGACATAGCTAACGTACTACGAACTCTTGATAATGACAAAGCTCGTGGCCCGGATGGGATTCCTGCTCGTTTACTAACAGAAACTGCATCTAAAATAGCTCCATCTCTTTGTGAATTTTTTAACAAATCGTTGCGTATCGGCGTGGTACCATTTGATTGGAAACTTGCTAATGTTGGTCCTGCTTGTTAAAAAGGAGACCAGGAATGTGTGGAAAATAATAGACCTATATCTCTGCTCTCTCTGGTTTTGAAAGTTCTGGAACGCTGTGTCTTCAATACTGTTAAAGATCATAGCCTTGTCAAACCTTGTCAACATGGTTCCTCCCTGGGAAAAACTGTGTGACACAATTTATCGATGTTTTTGACAAGATAGGAAAACAACTAGATCGTGGCAAACAGATGCATGTGATTTATTTAGATATTTCAAAGGCTTTTGACAAAGTTAGCCATACTAAACATCTTCTTCTTCTTCGTCTCCGTGAATTTGGTTTTGGAGTAACATTCTCAACTGGTTTCGCTCCTACATACAAGATCGTCGTCAACAAACAACCATCCTCGGTGCAACATCTTCACCTAGTCAACTAACATCAGGGGTGCATCAGGGCTCTATTCTCGGACTGGTGTTATTTTTGTTATATGAAGAATTCATCCATTGCAACATACGCTAACAACACTAAAATCTTCAAAGAAATCCATAATATCGGTGATGCTGCATCCTTACAGGAGGACCCGAGTAATTTTTAATCAAGTTCTTCAGATGTGGGTCTTCACTTAAACACTTCCAAATGTAAAGCTCTGCGAGTCACCCGAAAACATTGGAAGATCAAGTATCCATGTACTCTTTACAAGATAGCATATTAGAAAACGTTGAAAATGAGCGGCGTATGGATATCAAACAATTTGACTTGGCACAAACAGGTATTGGAACAACGCTCAAAAGCAAATAAAATGTTGGGTTTCATCAAAAGATCAACAAGAACAATCAAGAACTGTAAAGCCCGTCGGACACTATATACAGCTATTTCAATTAAGGTTGTTCACGAGCAAAACGGAAAAGTCGAATACGAGCGCGAAATGGGAATGGGAATCGCTTTGAAAATTCATTAATTTGTTAGCGATTCCCAGCAGCCTTTCGCGCTCGTATTCGACTTTTCCGCTTTGCTCGGGGAGAACCTTAATTGAAATAGCTGTATAACACTTGTTCGATCGCAAATGGGATATGCGACACAAATTTGGTCTTCGCAAACCATCGACCTCATCGCTCGCTTAAAACGCGTACAAAGACGCACTTCCAAATACATTTTAGATCTACCTTTCCTTTGTGAAATGGAAAGACATGTCAAAACTGCAGAAATTGTGTTTAAAACACTAAAGCCAAAGTGTTAACTTTTGTATAGAACTTGTTTACAAGAGACTGAAAGTCAGTGCTGACTCTAACGTGTGACGTCACACTAGGTTCCAGTCTCCTGGAAAATGTTTGTTAAAAATTCTAATGGCTGTACCCAAATACAAGCATTTTCTCGCATTGTGATTAAAAAATAAATATTACCACGATAATCAGCGCATCAAAAAGTATCAAATCATACACCAAAATTTTGTGATGAACTCTGAACAGTAATAGCTATATTTAGAGACACGCGCAACATTACCATATATGGTATAATGACTTTGTTATTGTTCAAGAGTATAGACAAGGTTAAGAGACAATTGACAGGGTTTGAGACAAGTGAATTCATATATTTCGTATTGTTTTTTGTGTATAATAAATATTTAGAGTGAGGATTTATATACGAGGACAACTTCGGTATATAGTGGTGCCGTGACCAGGATGTAAACAAGGGAAACAAGTGATATTTTACGAGGAATTTCAACAAATTTACAACTATATTTACGACGATAAGCGAGAGTTAAAATGAGCGACACAGAAGCACAAGCGAGCGAGCAACAAATTGAGAATAAAATCAACAAGGAAATAGAAAAGTTAAAGTATTATTTGGAACAAACCGACGAGCTTATCGAAGAGCAAGATCTTAGGGAAATCGAAACAGTAAACAAGCGTACAAAGGCGATTTTGGATCAAATATATAGCCTTGTTTCGACCGCTCAAGAGACGAAAGTTGAGCTGGGAAAAAGTACATCACGGGAAATTCGACAATGGAAGAAAGAGGGAAGAGATAGATATATGCCATGGGTAAATGAAATGAACAAACTGTCTGATTTTCTGGCTAAACGACAAGCAAATATTGCCGCTGAAGAGGAAAATAAGCGACGAGACGCGAAACGTATCGAAGAAGAGCATAACAGGGAAGTAATTCGAAACCAAGAGAGGCAAATGCTCGAAGAAAAATTACAAGCAGAGCTTAGAATGACGGAGAAAAAGCTAGAAATGGAAAAAGCTGCAAGATCAACTCTAGCTAAACTTCCTAAATTGAAAATAACACAATTTAATGGAACAACAGCAGACTGGGTAAGGTTTGAGAACATGTTTATTACACAGGTCGATTCTAAGCCAATTAGTGATGAGGAAAAGTTTGGCTATTTACTTGAAATGGTGAGTGGAAAAGTCAGGGATAAGATCTCAAACCCCAAACCGAGCTCGATTGGATATAAAACGGCTTGGGAACGACTCAAAAAGGAATACGGTCAAACAAAGTTGGTTGTGAATGCACATATTGATGAAGTAGTAAATTTACCCATAGTACGAGGGTCCTCCTATGAAAAGATCTTGGCTTTCTACGAACATTTGAGCAAGAACTATGACGCCCTACAGACTCTCGGTGAACATGAGAAATTAGATGGATTTGTGATGTGTACTATTAATAAGTTGCCAAATGTGAAGTCAGACTTGGTAAGGACTGACGAAGATTGGGAAGAATGGAAAATGGAGAACTTAGTTGATAGTCTGCAAAAATGGTTACGAAGAAACAAAACTGAAGAAGATAAATCCACAGCTGACCCAAGAAGAAGAGAGAAAAACTTGTTTGCACGTAATGGAGGTAAAGAGAACGAAAGAGGAAAAAAGACACCTTGTTGTATGTTCTGTAAAGCTGAACACTGGAGTGATATGTGCAAGTCTTATGTAACCACAGCTCAAAGAAAGGCTTACTTCGGTGAGAACAATTTATGCTTCAATTGCGGTAGCCCGGGACATAGGGCTAGACATTGTCGGAGTCGTGGGTGCTATCACTGTGGGGAGAAACATCATACCAGTTTACATGATCAGAAAGAGAACAACGGTGATGGTACAGTACTAACAGGCTACTCAACAGCAACAGACGAGATTACATTACCCCCCCATAATACCCCCCATAATCCCAGTTAAGGTGGATGGAGAAGTTTTCTGGGCATTTTTGGACACAGGATCGGGCATGAATTTTATTTCAAAGGAAGCAGTAAAGAAACTTCAAGTTTCTGCAGCACGACATGAATCGAAAGAAACCATCACCATTAATGGAACAAAAAGACAGTCCATGCCTATTTACAATGTAACAATCGAATCATTAGATGGATCAACAAAGGGAGATATAGAGCTAGCCGGGTCGACAATGAAAGATTTCACAACAGTGAAAAGACCGGACATGAACAAACTTAAATGGAATTATGAACACACAAAGGATAAGAGGTTTTGTATGACAAGAGATGGTGAATATCCAATACACATGATCTTAGGTGACAACACCTTCTGCAAGATTAAGACAGAGGAAATCTACAAAGGAAAAGATGGCGATCCTATCGTTGAAGGTACTTCGTTTGGTTGGATTGTTCATGGTGGAGATATTTCGAACAATGTGTGTATGTTTACAAGAGAACCAAATGACTACGAGCAATTGTATACACTGGATGTAGTTGGAATTGAAGGTAAAGGGGAGAACGACCAACTGGACGTTTATCATGAATTTAAAGAAAACATTACTCGGGCGGATGACGGTAGATATCAAGTCAACGTACCATCGATTCCAGGACAGTCTTTACCAAATAGCAATCTAGAACCAAGTGGAAAGCGATTAGCTAACGTATGCAAAAAGATCGAGCGAGATGAGAAGGTAAACAACAATTATGATGAAACAATCGAGAAGCAATTAGAATCGGGTATCATTGAAGGTGCACCAGTGAAACCGAATGGTAAACGAGTATATCATATACCCCACAAACATGTTGTCAGAGAGGAGGCAAATAAAGTCAAAGATAGCGCGGAGATTCCTGAGAATTTTAGAAATTTTGGACTGGTCGGTGATAGTTCGAAAAATCCATGGTTTTTGAATGATGGAAAAGAAAGAGAAGACATGAATGAGGAAACTGAGGGACATGAAAATACACCAGAACGGTTGAGAAAACTGAAGGCAGTAACTGCGGAAGAAACAAAGGAAGGGCAAGGTGATGAAGACGAAAATGCTTCCGATAATTCTGACCAAGATGAAACATTTGAATTGATGAATGATGTTGAGAGGAAAAGAGAAGAAAACGAAGTAGAGAACCTTGAGGAAAATGGCATAAAAACGAAAGGGAAAGTGAAAAGTAATGTTGTTTCACAGGGAAACAATAAAGAAACTAGTAGCGTTGAAAAGACAAGTAAACGTAAGAAAAAGAAAAGAAAAATTACAGACGAAAGTAGAATGAAAGAAAATTTGGAGCAAAGCAAGAAAGCAAAGTTGGTGAAGAGTGGGACTGACGAGGACATTATGCAAACCGCAGATTTGGACGAAAAGAACCGAGGACGGTGGATGAAAGGCAAAGTTGTGAAGTACGTGAAAGGAAAGGACGGTGTAATTAGAGGAGTTATTGTATTACATAAGGGTAACTATTTGGAACGACCTGTTCAGCTAGTATGTCCTTTGGAGATAAGGAGCGTGGTTAAGGAAGATCAGGGAAGACACAACGAAAGTACTGAAGATAATGATGATAAATTAAAGGAAAGACCAGAACGGAAAGCAGCAAAGATCGCGAAAGTTAACATCAGAGAACAGTTGAAGGACGATTAAAGGGAAGTAAATATAACTGTGTAGACTGTTGTTGTTAAAAATTTATAATTCGTTTAAATTTGTTAGGGGAGTGTGTGATGAACTCTGAACAGTAATAGCTATATTTAGAGACACGCGCAACATTACCATATATGGTATAATGACTTTGTTATTGTGAGAAGGTTAAGAGACAATAGACAAGGTTAAGAGACAATAGACAAGGTTAAGAGACAATTGACAGGGTTTGAGACAAGTGAATTCATATATTTCGTATTGTTTTTTGTGTATAATAAATATTTAGAGTGAGGATTTATATACGAGGACAACTTCGGTATA